ACTCAGGCCACTGCCCTCTGTTCTTAATGCCTAAAACGCTGCGCGGCCGCTTCGAGCAGGCACTCAGACCACTGCCCTCTGTTGTTAAGGGCGTTCAAGCCTGCCGTTTGCCAGACCTCAAATGCCTCAAAGGCTGCGCGGCAGCTTCGAGCAGGCACTCAGGCCACTGCCCTGTGTTGTTAAGGACGTTCAAGCCTGCCGTTTGCCAGGCCTCAAATGCCTCAAACGCTGCGCGGCAGCTTTGAGCAGGCACTCAGGCCACTGCCCTCTGTTGTTAAGGACGTTCAAGCCTGCCGTTTGCCAGGCCTCAAATGCCTCAAACGCTGCGCGGCAGCTTCGAGCAGGCACTCAGGCCACTGCCCTCTGTTGTTAAGGGCGTTCAAGCCTGCCGTTTGCCAGGCCTCAAATGCCTCAAATGCTGCGCGGCAGCTTCGAGCAGGCACTCAGGCCACTGCCCTCTGTTGTTAAGGACGTTCAAGCCTGCCGTTTGCCAGGCCTCAAATGCCTCAAACGCTGCGCGGCAGCTTCGAGCAGGCACTCAGGCCACTGCCCTCTGTTGTTAAGGGCGTTCAAGCCTGCCGTTTGCCAGGCCTCCAATGCCTACAACGCTGCGCGGCAGCTTCGAGCAGGCATTCCGGCCACTGCCCCTCTGTTGTTAAGGGCGTTCAAGCCTGCCGTTTGCCAGGCCTCAAATGCCTCAAACGCTGTGCGGCAGCTTCGAGCAGGCACTCAGGCCACTGCTCTCCGTTGTTAAGGGCGTTCAAGCCTGCCGTTTGCCAGGCCTCCAACTACAATGCTGAGCGGCAGCTTCGAGCAGGCATTCCGGCCACTGCCCTCTGTTGTTAAGGGCGTTCAAGCCTGCCGTTTGCCAGGCCGCAAATGCTTCAAACGCTGCGCGACAGCTTCGAGCAGGCACTCAGGCCACTGCCCTCTGTTGTTAAGGGCGTTCAAGCCTGCCGTTTGCCAGGCCTCAAATGCCTAAAACGCTGCGCGGCAGCTTCGAGCAGGCACTCAGGCCACTGCCCTCTTTCAAGCCTGCCGTTTGCCAGGCCTCCAATGCCTAAAACGCTGCGCGGCAGCTTCGAGCAGGCACTCCGCCACTGCCCTGTGTTGTTAAGGGCGTTCAAGCATGCCGTTTGCCAGGCCTCAAATGCCTCAAACGCTGCGCGGCAGCTTCGAGCAGGCACTCAGGCCACTGCCCTCTGTTGTTAAGCGCGTTCAAGCCTGCGACATGGCTCAACGCCCGGCTGTGGCCCCAAATTCTGTGGAGCTTTGTGCTACATGATTCCATCGATTGGTTTAGGTGTGAAAATCTCAGCCGGAAACCATATAAGCATATTATAACATCATATGTATATATTTATATATAATATGTATATATCCGCACCCTTGAAAGGGGGTCGGCGGCACCAGGGCGTTAGCCCATTCTATAGATTTCCCCTGGGCGCATTTAAGTCGCAGCTGGGGGGGACCTATATTCTCGCTGTTGGTTTATATCGTCATCGTCTCCTGTGATTTGTATATATATATATATACGTATCTATACATATGTATTTTCATCATATCATTTGATTGCTGGTGTCTCTGCACGTAAGATGCATTCCACAACAAAATTCGCAATGACAGTTCTGAGCAAGTGTGTGACTCATGCTGGATTCGTCATGGTGGCATGATCCCTTCGGGGAATACCTTCTCGGTAGGAAATTTGATCCTCCGAACTGATCCCTGAATTTACAGTTTTCAACCTAGCAATTCGTCTAAGTAAAGTGAAACCGTCGGCCTTCTTTCACTGTTTCACCCATCGATCGATTTGTGTTGAAACAGCTTGCCGCTGTGAATGGCTTCATTTTTCCACTGAGACTGATTGCCGCCTGTAGACTGCAGCTGCGCCAACTTACCTTTTCTCAGTGATGCTCGAGAGACAGACCGCTGGCATTTCAGTCATGCTACATGTGATGAAAGGCAAAGGACATGCCTTCCAGGTGTGGTCACTTCCTTTTGGTTGATCTGGTGAGGTTCAACTGTGCACTCAATTCGCTTCTGACTACTGACAGCCATCGATAGGGTTGAATTGAACACCGAGGGCCTTGAGCCTTTTCACGAATCTTGCGCGTATTTGTGGGTGCATCATTTGTCATTAACTAGGTCCCCATGGGTCCTCTTTCTCATGTGTGCTCCCGTGTTAGGTCAGGTTTGGGTCCTTCGCGTGGCGAGGTAGGTTTGGCTCTCGCCTTGTAGGTTGTGTCAGGCGCTTCTGTCCGCCCCCCCTCTGGTCGGTGTCTGGCCCGTCGTCCGTCCGCTTTTTCTTTTCCCTTGCCCTTCACGGGTTGGCCCGCTCTGGGCCAGGTGGCGCGCGCGCGTGTGGGTGTGGGTGTGGGTGTGGGTGTGGGTGTGGGTGTGGGTGTGGGTGTGGGTGTGGGTGTGGG